GACCCAGAGGTGGATCTTCTATCATCTGGGTCAGCAGCCCAGTCAGCATCACAATAGGCTTGCAGAGAGAACGGAACAGTGGAGGCTGGAGTGAACAATAAACCAGAGGTGATAGTTCCTTTTAGGTAGCGCAGAATACGCTTGACAGCTAGCCAATGGGACTCCAAGGGGTGTGCCATGAATTGACATACTTTGTTAACAGCATAGCAGATTTCTGGCCGTGTAATTGTTGCATACTGCAGGGCCCCTACAATGGACCGGTAGTGGGAGGCATCAGACAAGGCAGCAGACCCTGTTTTGATGAGTTTGGTGGAGGAAGCCATAGGAGTAGCAACTGGATTGGAATTCTCCATATCAGTTTTGATTAGCAAGTCCCTTAGGTACTTAGATTGAGTGAGAAGGAGATTTCCATTGGACAATTTCTTCACCTCAAGGCCCAGAAAATAATCCAAGTCACCAAGTTGTTTGAGAGCAAACACATGATTTAATTGGTGAGTAACTTGCTTGATGAGAGGAGGGGAGTTTCCTGTGATGATTATATCATCAACATAAACCAGCATATAAATGACAGCATTGTGATGCTTGTAGATGAAAAGTGAAGTATCACACTTGCTGTTTAGAAAGCCAAAGGATAAAAGAGTGGTTTTGAGTCTTTCAAACCATTGCCTCGGGGCTTGTTTTAGGCCATACAAGGCCTTGTGCAAGTGACAAACCAGAGATGAATTAGGGGCAGTAAATCCAGGGGGTTGCATCATATAGACCTCCTCTTCAAGAATGCCATTCAAAAAGGCATTGTTTATGTCCAACTGCTGCAAAGGCCAATTGTAAGTTAGAGCAAGAGTCAAAATAATTCTAATTGTGACCGGTTTAATAACAGGGGAGAAAGTTTCATTAAAGTCAAATCCATGGACTTGATGGAACCCCTTAGCAACAAGCCTAGCTTTGTACTTATTTACTGTCCCATCAGCATTTTCCTTTACACGAAAAACCCACTTGCAGCCTATTGCTTTCCTGTTAGCAGGCAGTGGTACCAAAGACCAAGTGTTGTTCCTTATCAAGGCACCATACTCCTCTTGCATAGCAGCAAACCACTTAGGATCTTGGAGAGCAGTTTTAACACTCTTAGGCTCAGAATTGACAAGAAAAATGGAAGGATTTAGACGAGGTAAGGGTACACCAGATTTAGTTCTAGTAGTCATAGGATGAGTATTGGTGGGGAGAGGCTGAAGGTTAGGATCCCTAGGAGCATAAATAGAGGAGGAGGATAGTGAAGTGGTAGTAGTAGGCTGATTGTTGGCATTTGAAGAGGGTGAAGGAGTAGGATTAGTGCTGGCTGTTTGTGTTATAGGGGTTGCTGACCCAGAGGCAGTAGGTGTGGGGCTGGAATTGGATTGGGAAGAAGAAGAGGAGTGTGAGACAATAGGTGTGGGGCTGGAATTGGAGTGAGAAGAAGAAGAGGAGTGTGAGACAATAGGTGTGGGGCTGGAATTGGATTGAGAAGAAGAAGAGGAGTGTGAGGTAGTGGAAGCAGTAGGAACGGGAAAAACATGAGGGAGAGCTTGTGTGTTAAGGGTTACTTTAGATGAGGAGGAGGATGGAATGGTTGATGAGGGGAGAGAAACATTAGAGGAAAAAAGATCATTGTAAGGAAATTTGGACTCGTTGAAAAGAACATCTTTAGAGATGAATATTCTACCACTTGGAGAGAGACATTTGTAACCTTTGTGAGCTGTAGAGTACCCTAGAAAAAGGCACTCGTGGGATCTAAAGTCAAATTTTTGAGAGTTGTATGGGCGAAGGAGAGGAAAACAAGCACACCCAAAGACTTTAAGGAATTTATAGTCAGGATTTTGATTGAAAAGGACAGCATATGGTATATGTTGATTGAGAGACATGGTTGGTAACCTATTTATTAGGTAGACAGCGGTTAAAAAGGCATGGTCCCAAAATTTGAGAGGTAAAGAGGCATGACTCAAGAGGGTTAAACCAAGATCAACAACGTGTCTATGCTTCCTCTCCACTACACCATTTTGGTGATGAGTGTGAGGGCAAACTAGGCGATGAATAATGCCAAGATCAGAAAGAAACTTTGTAAATGGGCGAAATTCACCACCCCAATCAGTTTGGACAGATTTAATAGGAAATCCAAATTGTAATTCAGCCATGACTTTGAATTGTTTAAAGATAGTTAAGGCTTCAGATTTATTTTTGAGCAAATAGATCCAAGTAAATCTGGTGTATGCATCAACAAAGGTGATGTAGTAGGTAAAGTTTTGGGAGGATTTGACTGGGGCAGGACCCCATAGGTCACTGAAAATTAATTCAAGAGGAGAGTGATATTGAGTTTGTGACTGAGGGGAGTGCAGCCTATGTGCCTTTCCCATACAGCAGGCAGAACAAAAGATAGATTCAGCTTTATTAGAATAAGGAATATTACATTGAGCTAAAACAAGTCTCATAGTATTAGAATTTGGATGACCAAGGCGTAAATGCCAAGTATGTTGAGAATTATATGAGTTATTAGCTGATACATTTTGATTAGAAACTGAAACCCTATCACTAGTGCTGGAATCAGATCTTGAAACATGAGCATTAGAGTCTAAGGTGAGACATGAGACTTGACTTGTTGAAGGAGACTTAAGAAGCTGAAGATGGGAAAATTGGTACAGGCCATCACTTCCTACACGACCTTGGAGCAGAATTTCATTGGTAGCCTGAGATTTGACATAGCACATATCAGCATGAAACTCAAAGAAAACTCTATTATCAAGACAGAATTTGCTGACACTTATCAGGTTCTTTGTAATAGAAGGAACAAGCAGTAAATTATGAAGAGCTAATGGAGTGTTAGGTTTAGAATGAGAAGGAAAATAAGAAGAGCCTGAAGAGTGAATGTGCAAACCTTGACCGTTACCAATGAAGATCTGATCAGGACCTTCAAAAGGTGTGGTTTGCTGTATGTTTTGAGAGGCATTGGTAACATGATAAGAAGCTCCTGAGTCTGGGAACCAGGCACTGCTTGGAACTGAAGTTGTGTTAGCAATCATAGCATTGGGAGTGATATGTGACTGAGGAACAGGGAGAGGGGCAAGTCTTGGTTGATAGCTTGGGCGTGACCGAGTGTTAACCATGGGCTGAGCAAACTGAGGTCCACCAATTGGTTGATACGGATAGAAATTTTGTAGGTTCATTGTTTGAAAATCAGCAGGTATGTTAGGTTGAAATTGTTGATTGAACCTATGATAGCAGTTAACAGCAAGATGACCATATTTGAAGCAAACTTGACATTGAATGTTGCTGAACCTACCTCTCCCACGGCCGCGTCCACCACCACGGCCAGCTGCACGGCCTCCTCTTGAATAGGTTGGATTAAAGGTTGAATTCACAGCTTGTTCATTGTTCTTGTTATTCGAGTTATCAGTTTCAGGTTGAGAATTGGCTTGAGTGAGATTCACTGAGGCAGCCACCTCCATTTGTGAGTGTTTCTTATACTTGTTGTATCTCATCTCATGAGCAAGAAGAAGAGCTTCAACTTCTTCAAGTTCTACTGAATCAAACTTGCTTTCAATAACTGAAATAACAGAGGCAAAGTCTTGAGGAAGACCTTCAAGAATCACATCAATGTGTTGCTGATCTGGAACTGGATCTCCTACTGAAGCAAGCGCGTCAACAAGAGCTTTGATGCGAACCAGATAATCACCAACAGATTTGTCTTCAAGTGTTGTAGATCTGAGTTCCGCTCGTAGTTGTCTTGCTTTCGCACGTGTAAGCTTTTGAAAATGCGCAAGAATACGTTCCCAGAGCTCGTAGGAATGAACGCATCCAAGAACACGTGAAAGAATTGAAGGTGAAAGCGTGGATTGAAGCCACGTCATAAGCCACTGATCTTGCGTAATCCAGGTGCGATACGCAGGGTTCTCACAAGCAGCGGCACGATCTTCATCAGTCAGGTATTGATTCAGTATGTCACGAAGGTAAAGGTAGTTTTGAAGATTGTTCGCGTTAACGAAAGGATCTACTTGTTGGCGCCAAAGTAGGAAATTCTTCTCATCAAGTTTTTCTGTGATTTTGAGTTGGAAGGACATAGATGTTGGGGTGGCCGGAGCTGTAGTTACTGGAATCGCTGCCATGGATAGAACCGAAGCTCTATGATACCATATTAGAGTGAGATATGAGAGAGAAGAGAGAAAAAGCTAAAAGAGAAAAGAGAGAAACAGATTCTGTTATTGCTTAATTGGAAAGGAGCATTATGCTCTATTTATACAAGAGGAGATGAACATTGAGTTGAATCATTCAAGCTCTACAATTAAGGAAGACTTTTCTTATTCTATTAAATTAAGGCTGGACTTAATTATTCTATAGTGCTGATTATTCATATTCTAAGATATAACTCTAATATGCTTAAACCAGTCCAGAGTCAAGCTGTTGTTGATTACGTTGTCAATATAAGCATTTTGTGGAACAAAAGCAATGTGGCACTAGCTGTGCCCCAAAAGCAGCGATGAAGCGCAGAATAAAGTTGTGGCAGCTTTTGCGCTTGCATTTAAGCTTTTTTTTTCTAATGCATTTCCACTAAAGAAAGACCTCTTCAAAATGATTCTCCAGACATATGATGGAGTCGCAGATAAATTCTAGTCTCCAAACTCAACAAATAATGTCAATTTGTCAACAACTACTATATCAGGCTGCGTAGTTAAGTTAAGACTTGAAAAGACAGAAGTGCTAATCCTATAAATCACACCACACTACAAAGGAAAAGCCTGAAACTTAATATAGATTTCAGCAGCCATGTATTTCTTAGCAAAAAACCAACACCTCAATGGCATCTACTAGAACAGTTTAACAAAACATAATATACACAGCAAACCAACTGCAAGTTTATATAATTATTACAACATAAAATGTAGGGAGGATATGAAGGGTGATTGTTCAAAGTGCATATTTTCCATCATTATAGAAATAGTCCAGCAGAGGCAGAAAAGGGGAAATTTTGAACATACCGTACATAAACTTCTTGCAAAGAAACTGTGAGCAATGAGCTGTTATCTCCATTTTCAAGGTCAACTTCTAGATCGATTGAACCCAGTCTTGAAATAATGGATAGACCAAAAGTAGAATATGTTGGCACATCCGAAACAATATTGGGAGGATAAACACGGTTCAAGATTTCAGATTCATCCCTTACAAGCAGCGAGTCCAGATGTGTAATAAAGTCAATGAATGCGACATATATTGAAGGAGAGAAGTGTACTTTCATTGACTCTATGAGCACATAAACCTGGAATCAAGAAGTACTAAGATTCAAAAGAGAGAAGACAGAAAAAGAAAATACCATGTGTAGGAGATGTGGGAGAGTGGCGGAATTTAAATCCAACCTCAATATAACAAATGAAAATTTACAAAAATTTAGGGATTGAAAGATCACAACTATGAATCTACTCATAAGAAACAAAATCATATCAAGGCAATAAAGAAAGAATAAATACAATCCACAACATCTAATTTGCTAATCACCTCTAACTGCTTCAAAATGGACTCATCAGGGATAACACATAAAGCCATGAAAAATGAAGCACTAAATTTCTCGAGAATAGAATGCTTTAGTGACCGGTCAAAATTAAGAATGGCGATCTGCAATAACAAACAACCCCAAGGTTACAAATATCAGGATAGATTACAAACATATAAATCAGACAATGTTATATGGATTAAAAACCAGACCTCAAAATCATTGAGTTTAACATCTAAGTAACTATATAGATCTTGAAGCCGGATGCCTAAACAATCCTTAGATGTGGATATTGTATTTGAAAAGTGTTTTAGGAAGTAAGGCTGATCTCCAACTTCTAAAAAGAAAGACTTGGGACCAATTTTAGACTTGAAGCACAAAGACCTTGACTTAATTACCTGCAAGGAAAAATACATTGATTAGAAGAATTAAAAAATAAAAAATAAACACAGAATTGAAGTCTAAGAAAAGGATAGGCTAACCATCTAACAACCTAATACAAGCACAAGGACACAATAAAATGCACTAAATTACTTCATGAACAGTTTAACTCTGTTTTAACAAAAACTACACCACACAAATTAAAGTGCCTCTAAGCTAAATATAACACTCAATAGTCAATACTGCCCGAAGGTTGCACCAAAGGCAGGTAGGTAACTGTTCCAAATGTCAGGGAAAGGCATAACATTTTATTTCACAAATTAATATACACGAGGTCGAATATATAGGGGAACTACCATATTGCTACATTCTGATGCTGCACTTCTCCAAGGAAAAATAACAGAAATGTCAAAAACTGAAACATCCCACATTACTCTTTCATGGTTCACACCAACGTATCTGCAAAACAGATGAAATCCATTAATTACCAGTTACCACTACCATTCAAGAAATGCTATGACATAATATTGATGTTTGTAGCTAATCTCAAATAATAGCTTACTCTGCTTTAGATAAGAGTCGAGTTGTGTCATTTTCAATTCCATTCAATGACAACAGCACCTGCATTTCAACAGATACAACAGGTTAACACATTTAGATAGTACTTAAAATATCTCTACTCATCTCTTTGAATTAGATCCTACACTTCTTTTTTGTTATCATGATTTGTTTCCCTCTTTGATTCAAATTAGAACTCTAGTTTTTGTATAAGTTAGGGTCAGTGCTTAATCTTAATCAATTTTCAAATTTTCTATTCTACCTCTTCCCTCTTTATCTAAACAAAAACCTTATATCTTCCAACAAAATTTGCATTGCTTTGTAGCAAATATTTCATGAAAGAACCACACACATAGAAGTCGATTGTCTTTTTACTCATGAAAGATTCAGCAAAGGCTTATATACACTGGACACGACCAAAGAACAAAAAACTAACAACCTCGAGAAGGCACTTAAGGGAGAAGACGGATAATATTCGTTACAAGTTAAGCATGATTAACATTATACTGTCCAAATTGTGGGACAGTGAAGACTCCGTAGAGAGCTGGGTCTAATATGAAATTCCACATGTGACTAATAATGTGCGGTACATCTTTAAGTCCTCTCATTAGAGAAAAAATGTGTGTTTGTGTCCTATTCTATAACCTGTCTCCCTGTTGAAGTTCTCTGTTAATCTAGCTTAATAGTCTAGCTTATCTATTGTTTGTGATTGCATCGGGTCTTTGTTAACCAAACCCACAAATTAGTTAGTTCAGTTTCAGAGAATACAAAAAACAGTTTCAAAAAATCAATTTCCACTTTTTTCTTCCATTTCTCACTTCATAAAACATACTCTGCACTACATTGTTCAACATTCTATTGGTTTACAAATTTAATAAATAAAAATAAAGAGAATATTAGCCACATTGGATACAGTTTTCCCAGACATTTCTGTGTTACAAAGGTAAATTATACACAACAATCACATATTAAGATATTTTACATACTCACATAAAAATTCTAAAAGCAAGGAGGCGGGGAAAAACAATGGTGCATACCCTCTCATTATAAAATTTGACGGATGTAACAAAACCATAAAACTCCAACAAATTCAATAAAATGGATGCATCAAATGTCACTTGAAGTTGTTGAAGCATTCCCTGTAGCAAAAGATTGGGAGAGAAAAATGTAACATACTACAAAGGCCAACAAAATATTTCAGCTTTAAGCTTGCATACCTACACAAGCATATCAATGCTAGCCACTCACAAAGCACATCAACTTGGTATCACATTGAAACGCAGTGACGATACCTTAACAGAAATGCCCACATCTTGGTTAGATGAAAAATTTACTTGAAGGTCACATGAATGATCCACAAAATCCACTACATTACTTTCAACATTGGGCTGCAGATATCAAGTAATATCACCATTAGTATCGATAGCCATTAAAAATTGGAATGAAAAAACTTCCAGTCATAAATTACCATGTAACTTGCATCTATAAAAGCAAATATTTCATAATTTCAGTACCATCGCGGTGATGGGAGTTGAGACAATGATAACATACCTTTTTTGAATTTTACAGGACTAAAACAAGTAGAACATAGCATAAAAATAGATTGATATCGCACTACTTCTAAAGGAGACACAAACAAACAAAAAAGAGAAGAGGATAGAATCAATCATTTCACATCAAAACACCCCTTTAACCGCTTCAGCAATCGATATTAGAGCTTCACTGAATGACAACAAGTGCCTCATACAGTTAGTCATTAGAGCTGCCACTTGCAACTAACCCAAATGTCTTTGGGTTTCAGGTAACCCAATTGCAGCGATATGTAGAAGAACAACTACTCAAACAAACTCAGCAGAATATAATAGAAATCTAACATGACATCCAGATTATCCACGACTTTGTCTACCCTACTTCCCAGCCACTAGGCTGTTCACAGTGGTTTTCGGCCAGAACACTGAACCGAAGTGAACTTAAAATTCAGTACACTCGAGCTGAACAGCTTCCAACTGTGTGCTAAACTGCTTGTACATGCCAAAACAAAACCAAAATGTTGGACATTGTATACCAAACTGAGCTCTGCCCAATCTCCGCAATATCTTACCCACTCAACTACAATGTGTCATCCTGCTTTACATCCCTATTTGAAATCAGTTCTAGTTTAGACCTCAATCTTTTTTTTTTGTTGGTCACAGTACAGTATCCCCATTTTATTTCATTCATTGAATTTGAATTGATACAATATTTAATACTTTAATACATTTTCTTATTCGTGCAGAAAAATACGTTGGAGTTTTTTTTTAATAAGAGAATGGAATTTGAATTTCTGAGGATAAGATCTACATTAAATCACCTACTAATAAACAAAATATTAAAAAACATTTCAAAAATATATAAATATACTAAAATTCAAATTCGACAATTTGCCCCGATTGTGAAGGAATACAAAAAAAAACTTTAACACCAACACACTATGGTAGTAAATGTTGAGCAGCACAATTATAACAAAAGCAAATAGTAAGTGGACAAAAGGTGACAAAAAACTGCAAATTGGTTTGTCTAATTAATTCAATGCTACAGAAAATACAAGATACGGACCCGACTAATTTGTAAAAAGATCTCCCTGCTGTTGGGCTCAACCATTTTCCCAGACTTGAATTTGGAGATAATAATTCCATGCTCTTTGTAGAACTTAGACTCGATAACTCCGCCTTCAAAAATTATTTCTGCAATTCCTTTACAGTGCTTCCTAGAAGACGAAGAATAGAAAAAATATATATCTATTTGATTAGGTGAGGGTACAAGTCATTACAATCAATTTAACGTATTTTACACACGCAATAATTATGATGAGTAAACTGTTCATGAATGCAAGATTTACTGATATCTTAAGTAATAAGAGTATAACCTTCGCTTCTTTAAAAAAAATTAATTTCTACCTCAGTCCCACAATATATGTCATTTTAGCCAAAAAAAAATGTCCCAATTTATATACCGATTTATAACATCGATGGTAAATGGCAAAGAGCCAAAAATCCGACATATGGTGCTGCTATATCCGACGTATGGAGCTGTGGCACCACCATCTTTCACAAATGTGGCCATTGCGGAGAGCCAAAAATCCGCCCCTAAAATCTGCCATGACCGATATTTAACAACATTGAATATCAATGAAGTATTAATGTTGTTTCTCTATTATACCCCCTTAGTACTTGATGCGTATACTCTCTCTTTCCCATTCTTTTAATTTCTCTTTCTCATACGATTAATGAATGAAGCATAATCTTGTAAAGTAACTTGTAGTTTTTCTTTCCCATACAAAATTAACTATTTTTCTTAATTTGTGTGCAATTGTTTAGTGACATACATTTTGGACGGAGGGGGTAATTAACAAATTGATGGGATACAAAAGCCATGGAAAGAAAAATGGGAGAGAACTGAGACAATGAAATTACGAAAAAAATTTCTATCCATGAATTGCAACTGAGTGAACCTAACAGATTCTGTTAGAGTGTTACATGTATAATTAAAGAACTAATTAAGATCCCAAACTATATTCTAACAATTCTGACTACCTGCAAGGTAGGTAATAAGAATTGATGCATTTAGTCAGGAATGTTAATGAGATCCCCAATAATATGTGTGACAGAACCTGTTAGGCTGGTAGCTGAAAGATACTGCACTACACGTAAAACAGTATATTTGAGCAACTATAATCAAAGTGTTGCTCGTATCTGAGTTGGTTCTCTTATTGCATCTAGACCAGTCTGCAGCATTAGTGTGTGCACTTTTTTGATGAATCAGCGCTTGTAATACAGCTGAGATTCAGTAAGACATGCTAATAGTTAGTTGTTCCCAGCTGTGCTAAATCAACTGCAATTAATTATGGTTGAGTCAAGAAATACATCAAACATATGTTGTATCATTCACATCATTGATTGATAAAGAATCTCATGATTTAGTTCTCTCCAATTCCAACTATATATTTCTCGTGAACTAAGCCGTACGCTCCTTATATTCTGTTACCAATCTCCCTCTACTTTAGTTAGGAATGTTAATGAAGTCCCCAACAATATGTGTAACAGATACACACAAAACAGTATATTAGAGAAACTACTATCGAAGTGTTGCTCGTATCTGAGTTAGTTCTTTTATTACATCTCAATTATCAGTGTAGTGCATTACAGTATACATCATTAGTATGTGCACTTTTTTGATGAATCAGCACTTGTAATACAGCTGATATTGAGTAAGACATGGTAAGAGTTAGTTGTTCACAGCTGTTAGCAATTGCAATTAAATAGGATTTTGAGTCACCAAAATAGATCAAACCTATGTTGTATTGTGTCATTCACATCATTGATTAATAACGAATCTTTCATGTTTTAGACTTTTAGTTATCTCCAACTATATATTTATATTGAACTAAGCCTCAAACTCCTTATAGTCTGTACCCAATCTCTCTCCAATTGTCTACTCATGAGAACTTAATAATGTATAACAGCTACTACCTACTTAAATGAGAATACTTTAGAATATAAACTATACACTAATTATCATCAACAAAAAGATACCATATAATGCCAGTAAACGGAGAGCAGAGCATACTTGCTAAATAGAGTTGCGGAAATCTGATCAATTTCAATCTTTGATGCAAATATGCACAACTCATGCTTTGTAACAACATCAACACTGGATGAAACCAGAGGATGAAATTCAGTTGCGTCAGAAATATCCTGTAAGAAAATGTCAATCATTAATTGAAAAATGTCATTAATATTAAGCATAATATGGTTTTCAATGTGTCAAACAGAAGTTTACAGAATGCAATGTTTTTCCGTACTTCTTTCATCTTTGGTTATCTCCTGAGCTAACGAAACAGCATAGAAAATCAATTATCATACAAATATACATTAGGACTTCCATTTCCTTTTAAATGCATACATGAACTACTCATTTTACACTGATTGATATTACCCTTAACCAAATTTCCCTTAAAACATGATGCAACCCTCAAGCCCTGTCATCCATTATCTTCATGAGTGATACACTTTGCAAGCAAACAAAAAAAGGAAAGGAAAATAACATATATAAATCTGTGGAAAGAGAGAAAAAACATGTTACCTGTTTGTATACAGTCAGTGAAAAACAGAAATGCTAGTACAATTGTGTGATTTTACACTGTTATGGTAGGAATACTTCTATAAAATTCAGTGTCTGTTGGGCTTGAAAAAACGCTTTCTGTTTTCATTTCCTGTTTTTCACTTTCAATTATAAAATTGCTGCAATGTTTCATTTTGTTTTTTGTTTTCAAACATCACAACAGGAAATACTGAAAACTTTGAAAATAAGAAACTAAGTAGGAAAAGAATGACAATTTTGTAATTAAAGTCAAAATGAGGAGAATACGTACTCTTAAACCAATCAAAATTGTTTTCTTTTATTTTTAAAAGACTCTAGTATGAAAAAATAATATGATGAACCAAACAATCATCATGACGAGTGCACAAAATGATAAAAAGAATATGTAACATACAACAAAAATTTCATGTTTTTCCTTTCTCTGTTATTTTTATGCATATGTATTTATATAGAAATACAAATATTTTTATATGTTAGATAGGATCTTACAACCAGTGTTATGATCCTCAGAGTTACAATCATCCATCCCCATCCCAATCTTGGATAGGACCACAAGGCTGACAACATTGACCCAAGTCTTTCTATTACTAGTGAAAGCAGTCAAGAAAACTACTAAGAGTTATATTATAATACTCCCTCCGTTCCTTTTTAAGTGTTATTTTAGCATAAAACTCTTCAATTAAGATAGTGGATTGTTAGAGTTATTTTTCCTATTATACCCTCATTTATTTTCTCTTTCCAAATAAATTCAATCATACATTCTCTCTCTTTCCAATAACTAATTGAGTAAATAATTAATTTTATGGAAAATATGAAGTGGAGTTATTGATAAAATAACGATATAATTGACAAATTATAACATTAAACTATAAAAACGACACTTAAATAAAAACAAAACAAATCTTCTAAAACGACACTTAAAAAGGAACGGAGAAACTAATATATTACTAGAGTTTAGTATTAAGTATATGGGTTTAGCCCATTTGTCTTTCTTATGTAATTACTCTTTCAACCTATTAATATAAATAGGAGGATCACTACACATTGTAGTGTATCTGATTGATTATTCATATTTCTTTCTTTCTTTCTAAAAAAACTAACTGGCATAGCAAACTATAACGCAGTTACTAATGAAGTTTTGGGAATATTCAACAAAATGCTAAAGAAGTACTTTCAGTTGAGAGGGGTGCTGAAAGAAGAGAGGCTATATTGGCCAACGTGGTAATTAGTCACCAAGCATGGACGAGCACTGTCTAGTTTCAATTGTGGGAGTCCTATTCTCCAAATTTGACCTAAGCTATGCCTCAATGTTGTACTCAAATATTTTCAACCATCCAGGATTTAAAACCCTTGCACAATATTGCAGGGTTTGAAATAAGAAGGAATGGATTTAACCATGTTTTCAATTCAAACTCAATCCATATACCCAATGTTGTGAAACTGAAGATTCTACTTAGGATTCAGAGAGAAACAAAAGAATATGACGCGGATTGTAAGATTCTACCTAAATTCCAAAATCATACCAATACATGTACATATGTATGGAAACTCATAACTAAATAATTGTCACTAGTCACAACATCAAACTAAATTAAATAAATAAATAAATAAGTAATCAAAAAAGAAACTAAAATACAAATTGTTTTTGTATGTATTCTAATCATTTGGGTCGGGCCTAACTCAAAACATATTAAACCGATTTACAGAAAAATTAGCATGCCATTCCCCATTTTATACATGTCACCCCCCAAATTTCAATATACCCAAAATACCCCTTTCACTATTTACTCTAAATTTTTTACTTTCGTCAAAAAAAATTTACTATTGGTCAAAGGGATAATTTTCGAAATTTCCGTTACTCTTAGCAAATTTCCGATACCAATTTTTGTCGCATACCAGAAATAATTTACATTCTACAAATTTCCGAAAGCGATATATCGGAAATTTCGAAATTTTCGGTTGCGATTTATCGGATATTTTATAATTTCCGGTCAATTTTACAAAAGTTCTACAAGTACCGGAAATTTAACAAATTTCCGGTAGAAAACCTTTACCGAAAATTTCAAATTCCCGGTGTACCGAAAATTTCAGTTAAACTTCAAATTTCCGGTTTGTATTTAAAGTAAAAAAAAAAATACCGAAAAATTTGAAATTTCCGATATTTCTCATACTATTAGAGTTATATCTTAGGATATGAAAAATCAGCACTATAGAATAATTAAGGTCAGCCTTAATTTAATAGAATAAGAAAAATTCAGCACTATAGAATAATTAAGGTCATCCTTAAATGTAAGCTTGAATGATTCAACTCTTGAATGTTCAACTCCTCTTGTATAAATAGAGCATCATGCTCCATTCCAATTCAACATAATAACATAATCAGTTTCTCTCTTTTCTCTTTTAGCTTTCTCTCTTCTTCTTTCTCATATCTCACTATAATATGGTATCAGAGCTTCGGTTCTATCCATGGCAGCGACTCCGATAACTACAGCTCCGGCCACCGCAGCATCTATGTCATTTCAACTCAAAATCACAGAAAAACTTGATTCCTACTTTGGCGCCAACAAGTAGATCCTTTCGTTAACGCAAATTATCTTCAAAACTATTTTTACCGACGTGGCTTCAATCCATGCTTTCACCTTCGATTCTTTCAAGCGTTCTTGGATGCGTTCACTCCTATGAGCTCTGGGAACGTATTCTTGCGCATTTTCAAAAGCTTACACGTGCGAAAGCAAGACAACTACGAGCGAAACTCAGATCTACAACACTTGAAGACAAATCTCTGGTGATTACCTGGTTTGCATCAAAGTTCTTGTTGATGCGCTTGCTTCAGTAGGAGATCTAGTTCCAGATCAACAACACATTGATGTGATTCTTGAAGGTCTTTCTCAAGACTTTTCCTCTGTTATTACAGTCACTGAAAGCAAGTTTGATTCAATAGAACTTGAAGAAGTTGAAGCTCTACTTCTTGCTCTTCTTGCTCTTCTTGCTCATGAGATGAGATTCAACAAGTATAAGAAACATTCTTAAATGGAGGTGGCTGCCTCAGTGAATCTCACTCAAGCCAATTCTCAACCTGAAATTGATAACTCCAATAACAAGAACATTGAACAAGTTGTGAATTCAACCTTTAATCCAACCTATTCAAGAGGAGGTCGTGCATCTGGCTGTGGTGGTGGACGCAGCCGTGGGATAGATAGGTTCAGCAACATTTAATGTCAAATTTGCTTCAAATATGGTCACCTTGCTGCTAACTGCTATCACAGATTCAATCAACAGTTTCAACCTAACATACCTGCTGATTTTCAAACAATGAACCTACAAAATTTCTACAATCCGTATCAACCAACTGGTGGACCTCAGTTTGCTCAGCCCATGGTTAACACTTGGTCACGCCCAAGCTATCAACCAAGACTTGCTTCTCTCCCTGTTCCTCACTCACAGATCACTCCCAATTCTATGATTGCTAACACAGCTTCAGTTCCAAGCAGTGCCTGGTTGCCAGACTCAGAAGCTTCTTGTCATGTTGCCAATGCCTCTCAAAACATAAAGCAGACCACACCTTTTGAAGGTTCTGATCAGATCTTCATGGTAATGGTCAAGGTTTGCACATTCACTCTTCAGGCTCTTCTCATTTTCCCTCTCATTCTAAACCCAACACTCCATTAGCTCTTCATAATTTACTGCTTGTTCCTTCTATTACAAAGAACCTGATAAGTGTCAGCAAATTTTGTCTTGATAATAAAATTTTCTTTGAGTTTCATGCTGATATGTGCTATGTCAAATCTCAGGCTACCAATGAAATTCTACTCCAAGGTCGTGTAGGAAGTGATGGCCAGTACCAATTTCCCCATTTTCAGCTTCTTAAGTCTCCTTCAACAAGTCAAGTCTCATGTCTCACCTTAGACTCTAATGCTCCTGTTTCAAAATCTGATTCCAGCACTAGTGATAGGGTTTCAGTTTCTAATCAAAATGTATCAGCTAATAACTCATATAATTCTCAACATACTTGACATCTACGCCTAGGTCATCCAAATTCTAATACTATGAAACTTGTTTTAGCTGAATGTAATATTCCTTATTCTAATAAAGTTGAATTTGTCTTTTGTTCTGCCTGCTTAGGGGTGGAAATAGGCTGGACCGAGCTAGACTTTGCCAAGCCTGAGTCTGACCTGCTAAAAATTTCAAAGCCTAAGCATGGCCTGTGGCTTATCAAAGGCTTGTTTTTAAGCCTGAGTCTGGCCTTTTCGAAAGCCTGATTGGCCTATTTGCCTACATAAAAGCCTATTTTATTTAAACATTTTCAAATAAGCAATTCAACTAATGTTAAAATAGACTAAGAAATTAAAAAAAGATTAATTAGACTAAATGCTTCTTGCATTGACTTATTCAAGTTTGCCTATTAACATATTTTTTTGATATTATTTGTTTGAGAGAACTTATAAAAACAACTTATGATATTTTTCATAAGTTTTTCAGCGTATTTTCATAAGTCCTTCTAGACATATAAATTTTATTTTTATATTTTAATTTAAAATACAAATACCATGTAATAATAATAAAAGCATTCATATTTATTTAAATAGTCCGGCCTGATAGGCTTAAAAGGCTTTTTTTACGGCTTGTGGCCTAGCCTTTATAACTAAATAGGCTTATAAAATAGCCTAAGTCTTTTCTATTTTAGAAAAGAGTTTGGCCTGGCCTGAGCCTATGTAGGCTTGCCTGTAGACCCCTGTTATTGGCCTGACCTACTTCCACCCCAAAGCCTATTGTATGGGAAAGGCACATAGGTTGCACTTCCCTCAGTCACAAACTCAATATCACTCTCCTCTTGAATTAATTTTCAGTGACCTATGGGGTCCTACCCCAGTCAAATCATCCCAAACTTTACCTACTACATCACCTTTGTTGGTGCATACACTAGATTTACTTAGGATCTATTTGCTCAAAAATAAATCCGAAGCCTTGACTATCTTTAAACAATTCAAAGTCATGGTTGAATTACAATTTGGATTTCCTATTAAATCTGTCCAAACTGATTGGGGTGGTGAATTTCGCCCATTTACAAAGTTTCTTTCTGATCTTGGCATTATTCATCGTCTAATTTGCCCCCACACCCATCACCAAGATGGTGTAGTGGAGAGGAAGCATACACACATTGTTGATCTTGGTTTAACCTGCTTGAGTCATGCCTCCTTACCTCTCAAATTTTAGGATCATGCCATTTTAACTGCTGTCTACCTAATAAATAGGTTACCAACTATGTCTCTCAATCAACATATACCATATGTTGTCCTTTTCAATCAAAATCCTGACTATAAATCGGCCCAATGAAGGTGTTGAAAGCATGGATTGAAGCCACGTCATAAGCCACTGATCTTGCGTAATCTAGGTGCGATACACAGGGTTCTCACGAGCAGCTGCATGATCTTCATCAGTTAGGTATTGATTCGGTATGCCACGGAGGTAAAGGTAGTTTTAAAGATTATTCGCGTTAACGAAAAGATCAACTTGTTGGCGCCAAAGTAGGAAATTCTCTCATCAAATTTTTCTGTAATTTTGAGTTGGAATGACATGGATGTTGCGGTGGCCGGAGCTGTAGTTACCGAAGTCGCTGTCATGGATAGAACCGAAGCTCTGATACCATATTATAGTGAGATATGAGAAAGAAGAGAGAAAGCTAAAAGAGAAAAGAGAGAAATTGATTCTGTTATTATGTTGAATTGGAATGGAGCATGATGCTCTATTTATACAAGAGGAGTTGAACATTCAAGAGTTAAATCATTCAAGCTCTACATTTAAAGATGACCTTAATTATTCTATAGTGCTGAACTTTTCTTATTCTATTAAATTAAGGTTGGCCTTAATTGTTCTATAGTGCTGATTTTTCATATCCTAAGATATAACTCTAATACTCCCCCACAAGCTCAAGGTGGCTCAAAGGCTGACTTGAGGCAGACAGGTTTAACTTGCTGCTGAGCTCCATAAATCTTGAACTTGAGAAAGGCTTGGTGAGGATGTCAGCCTTCTGGCCAATACCAGGAATGTGGCAGACAGTGAGAGACTTATTAAGGACCTTAAAGAGATCAATTTCCATATGCTTTGTTCTTGCATGAAGAACAGGGTTATGAGCCATAGCAACTGTGCTCTGGTTGTCACAATAGATGGCTGGAGTTGTCAAGGGAATTTTTAGTTCAGCTAGCAAAGTTTGAACCCATAAAACTTCAGCTGTGGTGTGAGTCAAGCTGCGATACTCTGCCTCAGCACTAGAACAAGCAACAACAGTTTGCTTTTTGGACCACCAAGAGATCAAATTAGGGCCTAAGTACACAGCTGACCTAGAGGTGGATCTTCTATCTGGGTCAGCAGCCCAGTCAGCATCACAGTAGGCTGCAGAGAGAACAGAACAGTTGAGGCAGGAGTGAACAATAAACCAGGGGTGATAGTGCCTTTTAGGTAGCGCAGAATATGCTTGACAGCTAGCCAATGGGACTCCAAGGGGTGTGCCATGAACTGACATACTTTGTTAACAGCATAGCAGATTTCTGGGCGTGTAATTGTTGCATACTGCAGGGCCCCTACAATGATCCTGTAGTGAGAAGCATCAGACAAGGCAGCAGACCCTGTTTTGATGAGTTTGGTGGTGGATGCCATAGGAATAGCAACTGGATTGGAGTTCTCCATATCAGTTTTGATTAGCAAGTCCCGTAGGTAGTTAGATTGAGTGAGAAGGAGATTACCATTGGACAGTTTCTTCACCTCAAGGCCCAGAAAATAATCCAAGTCACCAAGTTGTTTGAGAGAAAACACATGATTTAGTTGTTGAGTAACTTGCTTGATGAGAGGAGGAGAGTTGCTTGTGATGATTATATCATCAACATAAACTAGCATATAAATGATAGCACTGTGATGCTTGTAGATGAACAGTGAAGTATCACACTTGCTGTACAGAAAACCAAAGGATAAAAGAGTGGTTTTGAGTCTTTCAAACCATTGCCTTGGGGCCTGTTTGAGGCCATACAAGGCCTTGTGCAAGTGACGAACCAGAGATTAATTAGGGGCAGTAAGTCCAGAGGGTTGCATCATATAGACCTCCTCTTCAAGAATGCCATTCAAAAAGGCATTGTTTATATCCAATTGCTGCAGAGGCCAACTGTAAGTGAGAGCAAGAGTCAAAATAATTCTAATTGTGATCGGTTTAATACCAGGGGAGAAGGTTTCATTAAAGTCAAATCCATGGACTTGATGGAACCCCTTAACAACAAGTCTAGCTTTGTACTTATTTACTGTCCCATCAGCAGAAGGTGTTGAAAGCTGTTGTGAAAGCAACCCAAATGTCGCAATTAGGCGGCTAAGGACGAACTGCAATGAAGGCAGAAATCCCAACAAACTCTCGGACACCCAGGCCCAATGAGCTTGAAGTGTGGACGATGCGAGAAGCCCAACAACAAATCTAGAATAGCTCTCTAATATCATCTTTGAATTTAAATTGGGCCCAACACAATCTTTGAATTTAAATTGGGCCTAACACAAGCATTACCAAACCAATTTGTAAGGTGATGGTTGTCCAAGCTTTATAAACATTGTTCAGGCCATATCTCTAGCTAAAGTGGAACTAAATCCATACTTTTACACCCAACACAAAGGTGTTGGAGTCTGAAATGAAGAAAACTTAAATGCCACAATTATCCGTTTAGGTTCGGACCGCAATGAAAGCAAAGTTTCCAACATACATTGTTATGCCCGCTATTGATGATAGGCCCATTTTTAATGCGGAGGAGGAAATAACATAATCCCTTACAAAAAGGGAAGTAACACAAAGGGGAAGGCCATGACGAGTGTGGAATGAGTGTGGAATAGGAAACAAATTTGGGACTGAGCCATGAGATAGATTCTTATTTCAGTAAGGGTATTCCCTTATGAAAGCATTATTTCCATTTAGCTTTTTCCGTATCCAACCACTGTTAGTCTAATCAAAGTTATCAATCCCAGGGAATAGCGGCACTACCCCGGGAGAGCAGCGCGGCGCAGAGGTTGGATGCTATTTGGAGAGCCAACGTGACGCAGTTTGCATTTGTGGCCGCTATTTGGCCATACGCAGGCCGCGGGAGCAAAGAGGTCTCCAGGCCCAAATCAGGTTAAAACCCACTATCTGTTTTAACCCCTAAAACCCCAATTTACCCTTAAAAAACTTTTTTTTTGGGTATTTTGGCATTTTGCCCTTTTTAGCCCTAGACTCAATCTCTCGTTCGCTTCATCTCGCCGCCACTACAAAGCTCCCCCAGCGCCACCGTCTCTTCCTCCCAACGCCGCTGTCTGCAGTGGTCTTGTGTTTGCAGGTTGGTTGTACTCTATATTCCTCTATTCTTCTTCCTAATTCCTTCTCCTTTTTTTTCGGTTCAGTTATACTCTATTCTTTTTTTCTATTCAGTTATACCCAATTTTCTTCTTTTTTTACAATAGCACAAGAAGTGGTGGTAGAAGAATTTGGAAGAATGTAATGGGGGTGGAGGATGAAGAGGAATATGTTGAAGAAGAAGACTTGTTTGAAGATGATCTATGATTTCTATGCGTGTTTGAATTTTAATAGTAAATTTGAATTTTAAGATGAAATGTTTTGAATTTGTTAAGACTTGTTGAATTTGATTTGATCAAGAGTTTTTGACTAAGCCTTGTGCTTTGATATTCAATTTTATGAATTTTTATGTGTAGTGTTATTTGTTTAATTTTACATGAAATATATGTTTATAGTTATTATTCATATAATTTGTTCAAAAAATAATCAAAGAGCAGTTATCCCACTATTCCATTTTTGGGATCGGTCGCTCTGCTCTGTTATCTGGGATTGATAACGTTGAGTCGAATATTGTTTCAATCTGATAGAATTAGAGTTTTGACCTAATTCATCCCTACAAAACCGGCTTTTAAGGTGAGGAGTATAACTCTATATAAACTCTTTGTGGGTTCTATCTTTAACTAATGTGGGAGTTAGGTTTTTCCCAATAAACCTCCTCACGCCTAATACTATTGGGCTTAGTGCGTGGATATAAACGGTGGGTGATCCAAGTTATCAATATGTGGGAATTGGTTTTTCCAATACACTCCCTTGCGCCCAACACTATTGGGTTTGGTGCGCATATAAACGGTAGGTGGCCCGAATCAATAGGCTCGTGATACCATGATAGAATTAGAATTTTAGCCTAACTCATCCCTACAAAACCAAACAAAGCCGGCTTTTAAGGTGAGGGGTGCCACTATATACAGTCACCATTGAAGCCAAACAGCATCTTTCCTACCGAAGGCAACTGCAGATAAGAAAACAACACAAAGCAAGCAAACAAGCACAGAGAATAGGCCAACCCTTTGTGATGACGAAGTAGCTTAACAAATAATTGAAAACATGTACCTTAACATCAAATGACACAACTCCAGAAAATTGACTAGAATCATCAGTACCACCAGCACCAAGCATGCCACGAGATAGCCAATTCAACCATCCTCGTGATTTAACATTGTGCTCATCATTTCCTGGCTTTTCTGTAGTAATATCAGGGACAATCCTTCCATTGTTATGAGAAGAATACCTAGAGAGATACTCCTATAAGAACATAAAAACCAGAGCTTTACAAACCAAACAACTAAATTATACACCTCAAAACGCATTGATTCGGCATTAAGCTACCCAAATACATGATATAGCATCAAATATTTAAAAACTGAAGTATTCATCCATGACCTGTAACAAGCTTACCTGCATCTCAAATTCTGCAGAGGATCGATAATTCAAAATATCATCTAGATCCGATTCTTTCTCCATTTGCTCCAAATCTTGAAGAACGTCATCATCAACTGGCTAGAAAACACAAATGTAAACATCAACAGGACAGTGTCAAATTAACGCCATTAAATAATATGTTAGAGAATAAAGAAAGTAAATCCAAATTATGATTATTTCACATTTAAGTTATCCTAATTGCCGTAATTACAAGATTTGATTAAACTAAACATAGAATCAAACATTATTTTCATACTTTTCAATACAGTGTAATCACTAAATACTTTTTTTGCAAACATAAAAACAAATAAATGAAAATACTATAAAATATTGATCCAAACATATCGAGCTTCAAGGAACAACAAAAAGATAAACCACCTGCTCTTGTTGAAGAAAATCCAACTTAATCTTGTACAAGTTCATATATTTCCGACGGTAACTCCTACAACCAGGAATCATAAATAATTACCGACAAGGTAGATGAAAGTCAACAAAAGACTGCACAAGAACACAACTAAAAAAAATAATGACAAGCTATCTAAAATAAAATTTCAAAGAAAATGTAGCACATAACACACATAGGTTTTAGTCAGCTGTCATCTTCAGCTATAAACTGTGTTCGATCATAGGGCTTGCACTTTGTTCTGCATAGCTAATTCACAATTCAGATTACATGACAGAATATTGAATTTGGAATATCATAAGCACATATTCCAATTTGTTATTTATATACTTCCAATTTTAGGTTCCTACAAGTTTAAAGAGTGACTTAGTTATAAGATTAATTGACCATGTTATTGCCCATCTCTCTATTGATTAGTTGTGTGACAGCAATTGTGACACCTGGGCCTCTAACATCAAACTGACTTATTGGACAATAATATGCAAACTGCAACACCACCAAAGTTGAATTAGAAATTGGCAGTGGCCCAATATACGAGTGGCAACTCTCCCCATAAAAATCGGTTTTATAAGGATGAGTTCAGCTCAATATAAAAGCCTAAACAGTATCAGACCGATTCCGGCCACCCACCACTTATAGCCAATAGTGTTGGGTATGAGGGGAAGTATTGAAAAAAAAAAAAAAATTTAAAATAACTCAAGTCCCATATAGAATAGAGAAAATGCCTAATTATAATTTAAAAACGGTGGCACCCCTCACCTTATAAGCGGGTTTTGTAATGATGATTTAGGGTCAATATAAAAATATAATACTCCCTCCGTCACAAAATAAGTGTCACATTTGATTATTTCACACAGATTAAGAAAATGTAATAAATGAAAGAGAGAGAATATCTATTTTACCACATTATCCTGGTTAACTATTGGTGTATTATAATGATCATAAATATTAAGTGAGAGAATAATAAATTGAGAGTGATGTAGGTAGTATTAATTGAAGGGTATAATTGAAAGAAGAAAATAAAAACTTTATTGGAAACTAAAGGCGACACTTATTTGGGATAAATAATTTGTTAACATGTGACATTTATTTTGGGACAGAGGGAGTAATTTAGAATTAGGAGTCTTGTATCCTAGCAAATATGGGTTTGTGTTTAGTCTTTAGTATCAAGTCAGTATAAAATTAATTAGCAGGTTGCAATCAATTATATTACACCATCATCATATTCAAAGTATTTATTATTTCTCTAATCCTGTTTTTATCTAAAACCTGCTACTTCAACAACCCCGTCAAAAAAATCAAGCATACAAAGAATGCTACAGAAAGAGCAAAATCACCCACATCATAAACTACTTTACCGAGTAACTTCATCTTTACATCAACTTACAATCGATCTGCGAAATATTTCCATGAAGTTTTCTTTAGTTTCTTACGAACATCTGAAAGGACTGCTTCTTGTGCATAGTGCCACCATGTTATTTGCCAACCTTTGTCTTTTGTTGGTAAAGGACAATGCCAAGGGCGAAAACATCCATACCTATATAAAAAAATTGAAGTACGTTTTCAACATCAATGCGTCAATTTCACAGGGACAAAAGCAACCAACCGTACCTACATCATATAACGATAAAAATATCTCAAAGAATACATTTTTTAATATTAAAGCAACAACATTCCACTGAAGTATAAGATTTGGGCATAAATCAACAACATAGAACAATATTTATCACGCTAATCCAAGAATGTAAATTTTCCTTTAAAAATTACAAAAGGAAACACATTATGTTGGATAATCAATGAATTGCAAAAACAGAGTTCAAATAATAGTATATTTACACAATCCTTATGTTATACTGCTATCTATAACAAATGATCCCAATACCTTTTTGCTTTAAATTCAGCTAAAATACTAGAATGAATGGTGCAAGCCATTCCTCGTCAGTAAGACAGTATGCTCAACTTGGGTTGTTTTGTTCCACCTCATTGTTGTATCAGTCTGCTATTAACTATCTAGGACTTTCTTTTGGCAGTTAAATCATCAGTTATCACTTATCGTAATAGAATTAGTTGTAACTACAATGCAATACATAGGAACTGTTGTGAAAGAAATTTATCAAAGTAGAATAGCAATTCATTAGAACTCTCTCTTCAAGATTTTTCTCATCCAAAATTCCACCGAATATGAAGATGATGTCGAGAAACAAGATCCACTGATGGCCTTTAAAAATCGCCAATCTGTAACCTGTGGCAAATTGTCTATTCAAAGCTCTCACCTCTTCCAGGATCCTCCAATGTATAGTCTCAGAATTTGGATTGGACCCAATTCAATTTTACAAAACCGGCTTGAATGGTGAGGATCGTCCCACTTATAAACATATGTTCAAGTCTTCTCATCCAATATGGGACTCTTAACACGCACCTTTCACAGTCAGGACTGGACATCTGGAACATGACCTGAGTGGTCTGATAATGGAAATTTGATAACATGTGGCCTATAGGATATTGGATAAGCACAGATAATGTTTTTTTATATTGGGTCTAACTCATTCTTACAAAACTAGCTTGTAAGATGAGGGCTGTCACCTTTTATAAACTCTAATGAGGCTTTCTCACTTGTCCAAGACCGGTATGCTTATCTGCAGAATGATCCTCTACTTCAAGAAAAAGCTCAATGTTAAAGCTACCATTAGCCTTGAGTTTGTGGAGGGTGTAATAGAGAATTTTATACTCGTTACTTATATTGGCATTATAAGCTACTTTAAATTGGCATTAAAAGCCTATGTTCGGCCTAGTTTATATTGGCATTAAAAGCTACTTTAAATTAAGCTAAAAATAAGAGATTTAGAAATAAAGCTAAAGTTGTCCAGCTTTTTAAAAGGTATTATTTTGATAGAATGATACTAGAATTTAAGTTAAATAATTATTAATAAAAAAAATTATAAAATATTTTCTACTGGATTTGAAAATCTCCTCTCAACACAACAACTATTTGAAAGTTCCTAATATCTAATTTTTATACATAAAAGATAAGTTTATTTTTTTAATTAAGATCTTCTCAAAAATAGTGTTAGGCCTAACTTCTTTTTAGGAGAAGATAAGTCAAAAATAAGTCAAGCCAAATGGAACCATAGATCTTCAATTTTCTGTTGAAATTAACAAAAATATATGTGGCTAGACCACACTAGGAATACTATATCAATGAATTTTTGTATTAAAAAAAAATTATCTAAATAGAATATTTCATCAGAATTGCCTGAGTATTCCTCTTCAATCAATTCCTGTGAAATAATAAGTGTAAAAGAGCAATTGGATGAGAGCTCATTTGGGCTCATCTTATGACAAATCATCTGCAAGTGTTTAGGGGAGCTTACCATATGTCTAAATTGTTTTTAGCTTATTTTATAAACACCCCCAGATAAGCGATTATGGTAAATTGTGTTTCAGCATATGTAGAGTTTACCCTTATTTTATATGTTTCAAAGAGACATCAAGCATTAATTAAGCAGTATATTCAAACACCCTCTTAACAGTTTAACATGTGTGAGAATTAGATGATTAGTGGAACTGGAAGTCCTCCAATAGCAACTCTCTTGCATGTATATTATAACTATTAGTATATTATAAAATTTCTTGTAGTATCTTTTGTATTAATTCAAAGTATCTTAGAGAGTATCTTTTAGTATCAAATTTGATACTAGTTATTATTATCATGATTTGTTCTTAATTTAGGATTGAGTCTATGTATCCCTATAAATAGGAATTAGTATTGAGTCTATTGTATCAAGTCAATAGTCATTATCAATGATATTTTTCTCTCCTCTTTTACTCATAATCACAAATTCAACAATAACAAACCAGATGCACCAATGAACCAATATCTTTGGAATAAAGGGTAATTATATTCAATATAATAAGAATAAATGAGAAGTCAAAGTGACAAACTAGGCTAGGTTCTGAACAGCCGAGAAAACTTCTCCATTGAAGAGTTTTTTCTTCAATATAAAAATTTAATTGTTGCTAGTGAAGAATTTAAGAGAAGAGTCCAGTAAATCCATTCTGCTCGGCTCCGTTTGTTTAAAAAATCCAAACATAGCCTTATGGTACTAGTATAATACTTTAGTACTAACAAGCTTCTGGAAATAAACTTACTTTTCTCTTAATCTGCAAGTGCAAACATAATCCCACACAAAAAACATTTGTTGTAACTGAACCTCGTCGACGGATATAACCTGATAAGCAGAGACAGTATCAGAATGAAACATAAGCAACGTAGGTAGGACATCATAAAAAAAGGGCAGCAAGCACCGCTTAAACTAGCAAATTCTATAAATAAATTGAATTAAACTTAAACAGAAAAAAAGTACCAACCAAACCACTCAGCTCAGCAGTAACAGAATATTGTGCAGCATTTTCATCAAGTTTTTGCGATCTGTTACCCTACGAGTGAAATTAAAGACAAAGCTTAAGTACAAAGAAAAGCTTTTTGCTGATTTTAATAGTGACTGAAAAGAATACACCAGAAGGTTATGCATAAAATCAATAACTCAACCCAAAATATTTCAAAAGTAGGAAAGAAATAAAGGGAATAATAAACACAAAAAAGTGGTTTGGTATCTGGTATATGCATATTATCACAATAAAAGAAAAGCTTCAATCGAAAAATTACAGCTATCTCCTTTTATAGAGAAAAAAATTATTGAAATTAAAAGGAGGATATGGCATCCTCACAAGGAGATACTTAAAAGAAAACACCTAGAGCCTATAAAATTAAGTCATGTAACAGGGCATGCAGATCTCTCTCCACATCTGACAACAAAAACACCTTTAAAGAGACCAAGAGTAGAGCCTTGCAAACAAGATATTAAAAAATCATTTACATCAGAAAATGGAGTATTAAAGAATCATTAAAAAATATTCATATGGAAAACAAGGAACCCAATAAAAATATTTGTACCGAAAGTATTAAGGTTAGATCGAATGGTGCCAATATGGAATTGTATTCTTTTCCTTCAGAGCCTAGGTTACTTGCTGAGTAGGAGTTACCCATAGTGTTCATAATTATTGAGTCCATTGTTGAACTATGAAACAAACTTGAATAAATTTCCAGTCCTTTCACCTCCACAATTTTATTTACTTGGGCCACACTCGCCCTTCCATTTGAAGTACTGAAATTTAAGGAAAATAAAATAGTCAGATATCAATTAACATGTAAACTAACATCTCAAAAGTCAACATATTATTTGCCCCTTTAAGAAAACTCCAATCAATCACTCACACTAATATTAAACTTTAGACTTACAATTGCCTTCAGAATAGATAAAACAATTGAAGCAGAATAAGGACATTATACACAACACCATTAAACCTTAAATTATATAATAAAATTTATAAATGGAACTTGAAAGTTTGGTGAAGGAGAAACGGTAAACAACAATACATTTGCAAAACACAATTATAAATATTACAAGCAAAGTGCTGCAGGTAAAAATGTAATATAAAGAAGGTTTAATTATGCAAAAGGCCCCTACATATAAGAGTCATTTTGATTTTAGTCCCTGAAAAAATTTCTTTCAAATAACCCTTGCAATTCAAAGCACTTATAATTTGGTCCCTCATCTAAATTTTTTTGCTGGACAAATTTTCATGGCATGGCATACATGACTAGGCTAAAGCAATACTCACCATTTCACAATATTAGGTACAAATTAAACATTTTTAATCAATTTAATTTATTTTTCAAAATTAAAATATTTTAACCGGAAAGAAGAAACAAAAACATCACCAACTTGATTGAGAGCTTGAAGGCGGAGCTTGAGGTAGCGAGCTAGTTGAATGTGGCAGAGTTTTAGGGCGCTCTTAAATTAACCTTATGTACATCAATTTCTTCCTCAAGATCACTTTTTTTTTAAAATCTCCTCAAGATCACATTGGTTTTGGAAAAAGTCTAACTTTATCTGATTGGCATCTCAACAACATTAGTTTTGTTGATATTTGTAAATATATAATGTTAAGAATATTTATATGTAGAATAGTCTCACATCGATTATATAGTGTAATTAGTTGTAATATCTCAATATATAATAAAGTCTCCGTAGTGTTTTCATAACACACGGTTTAACCTAAATGTCTCTTAGTCTCTCCTAATTTAATATGGTATCTAGACACTTCTAAGAGGCAATTCTTCGTAGTGCTTTACTCGGTTGACCCACTGTCTTCCGGTGAGAAATTTTCTTCTGCAAACCGTGTCATCATTCCGGTTTGCTTCACCTTTTTTTTTTAAAAAATTTTTCAGCGACCTCCGCCAAGCACAGTCCACGGGAAAAAAATTTCAGAGGACTACTGTTCACCGCTGCCGCACTGTTCACGTTGACGCCACTGTTCATCGGCGCCACTACTATTCACGGGAAAAAAAAATTCCCGGAAAATCGCCTTCCTCCTCCGGTTCCAGATCCGCCCTCGGTTTTCGTTTTCGACTCACAGAAAGTCGTACTCTTGTTCAAACAGCCCCAGTTGTGGTGTTTTAAGCCATGGGAGATGCTGATTCTATCTCGTTTACTAAAGTTCCGCTTATCCCATGTGAAAAACTAACCGGATCAGCCAACTATAACATATGGGCTCGTGCTGTCGAGATGTGATTTCACGATCAAGGATATGAAGAGCGTCTAACCACCCAATTGAGTGACGTTGCAGCCGTCAAACTCGCTAAATGAAAGAAAACTGATGCCTCTTTGTGTACTGTGTTGTGGTTTTCCATAGCACCTAACCTCCAAGCGCAGTACCAAACATTCTCCACTTGTTATGAGGTGTGGCAAAAGGCCAAGAAAGTCTTTTCCAACGACGTTCGTTCTCTATAAACTGTCATCCACAAACTCAACACAGTGAAGTTGGAAAATATGGATGTGCAAGCTTATCTGAGTAAGCTTGATGCCTTGAAAGCAAGTTACGCAACCCTCATGCCTTACGCAAAAGATACAGTAGCTCATGCCGAACAACAGAGTAAATATTTCATGGTCATGGTACTTAAAGGACTACCATCAGAACTCGAATCTGTTCGTAACCAGATTTTATCAGGTACTATTGTTCTTAACTATGATATAATTAGTGAACAATTGTTACGCTTGGATACACCTCATGCGTTTGGCCCGGTTTCTCCTCCATCTATTGTTATTCCAACACCAGGTGACACTGCTGCTCTTGCATCTCTTGGCAACAATCAGAATCGCCTTCGAGGAGGGTCATCCAACTCCAAACCCCGTCCTAAGTGTGACCATTATAACCGGCTTGGACATACTATCGATCGTTGCTGGAAGTTGCATGGCAAACCTCCACGGCAGGTAAATGCAACTCAAATTGATAACTCAGACACTATGCAGACTTCACCTTCTCTTCAAAACCATACGCCAAGCTACGAGGATTTTCTCAGGTGGTGTCAGACTAACCAGACCTCTGGTTCCACGGCTTCGATTGCACACACTGATAATTCATTTGTTTGTGTCTCTCAATCATCTCCTCTTGGTCCTTGGGTCCTCGACTCTGGTGCGTCTGATCATGTTACCGGTAATAAAAACATTTTCTCTTCCCTTTCTACCTCTGGTTTCTTACCGAGTATAACTGCCGCAAATGGTTCTCAAACCCGATCCCAAGGGATCGGTACTGTTCAAATTCTACCATCTCTCTTTGTTACTTTTGTCCTATATGTACCTAATTGCCCATTTAATCTATTGTCAGTCAGTCGTTTAACTCGTTCCCTTAATTGTTCTATCACTTTTACTAACAGCGATGTTATTCTGCAGGATCGAAGTTCGGGACAGACGATTGACGTCGGATGTGAGTCTCGAGGCCTCTACTACTTCTCTACGTCATCTACCACATGCTCCACCACAGATTCTCCACTCATTATACATGCGCAGTTAGGTCATCCAAGTCTTCCCAAGCTACAAAAGTTGGTGCCCAGTTTATCTAAATTATCCACTTTACAGTGTGAGTCTTGTCAATTAGGGAAACATACTCGTAGTCACTTTCCCGATCGAGTCAATAAACGGGCTGCATCCCCTTTTGCTTTAGTTCACTCCGATGTTTGGGGTCCATCGCGCATTGTGTCTACTTTTGAGTCTAGGTATTTTGTAATATTTATTGATGATTTTTCACGTTGCACGTGGCTATTTTTAATGAAAAACAGATCTGAATTATTTTCTATTTTTGAACAATTTTATCGAGAAATAAGAACCCAATTTGGTTTGTCCATTCGTACCATAAGATGTGACAATGCACGTGAATATTTATCCCAACAATTTCAAACTTTTATGTCATCCAACGGTATTCTACACCAAACATCTTGCCCTCATACACCTCAACAAAACGAGGTAGTTGAACGCAAAAACCGGCATCTCGTAGAAACCACTCGGACTCTACTTCTCCATGGTAATGTCCCTCTCAAATTTTGGGGAGATGTTGTGCTCACGACGTGTTATCTCATAAATCGCATGCCCTCATATGTCCTTAATAATAAAATCCCTCATTCAATCTTGTTTCCAAACTCTCATCTTCACCCAATTCCTCCTCGAATCTTCGGGTCTACATGTTTTGTGCATACTCTCTCCCCTGGTCTTGATAAACTATCAGCTCGATCACTAAAGTGTGTCTTTCTTGGTTATCATCGATCCCAAAAGGGTTATCGTTGCTACTCACACACTCTGCAACAATACCTGATATCGGCCGATGTTACCTTCTTCGAGTTTGTGCCATATTTTGCGTTCACCCAAGTCACTCTGGAACCCCTTCAAAAAAGTACTCTCACACCTCTTTCGGACGTCCCATTTCCCATTATTCCCCATCGTTCTAGGGAACCTGTCCCACGAGAAACCCCTACGGTTGACCCCTCAACTTCTCGCCCACTTCAAACATATCAGCGCCGTAAACCAACGCCTGTCATACCTGTCCCTGAGGTTGTACATGTCTCTGAGGTCGTACATGTCCCTGAGGTCGTACTTGTCCCTGAGGTCATTGCAGACTCTCCTCCGACGCTATCGCCATCACCGGATTCGATCCTGCAACCTGAGTCTGATCTTCCGATTGTCCTTCGCAAAGGTATACGTCAAACACGAAATCCTTCTCCGCATTATATTGATTTATGTTATCATCGTCTTTCCTCTTTGTATTATAGAGTCATTGAATATGGTTTGTAGGCTACACATGTCTCTTTATGGTCTTAAGCAATCTCCGAGAGCTTGGTTTGGCAGATTCAGCACTGTAGTACAACAGTTTGGTATAGTCCGTAGTGAAGATGACCATTCTGTCTTTTATCGTCACTCGGTCCAAAGGTGTATTTATCTTATTGTGTATGTAGATGATATTATCATAACTGGTAGTGATGAGTCGGGAATATTCCAGTTGAAACAACATCTTTCAAATCATTTCAGACAAAGGATCTTGGTAAACTCTAGTATTTATTGGGTATTGAGGTAGCCCAATCTAAAGATGGTTTGGTGATTTCTCAGCGGAAATATGTTATGGATATTTTGGAAGAAACAGGTTTGTTGAACGCTAAACCAGTTGATACTCCTATGGATCCAAGTGTCAAACTACTACCCAATCAGGGGGAGCCTCTATCAGACTCGGGAAGGTATAGGAGATTGGTTGGAAAGTTGAATCATCTCACAGTCACTCGTCCAGACATTTCTTTTGCAGTCAGTGTGGTAAGCCAATTGTTAAATTCCCCTTGTCAGAAACACATGGATGTTGTTATCCGGATTCTAAGATACATCAAATGTGCTCCAGGAAAAGGTTTAGTGTATGAAGATAAAGGACATACTCAGATAGTTGGATACTCTGATGTTGATTGGGCAGGGTCACCAATTGATAGACGATCCACCTTTGGGTATTGTGTACTTGTTGGAGGAAACCTTATATCCTGGAAAAGTAAAAAACAAAATGTAGTTGCAAGATCAAGCGCCGAGGCAGAGTATAGGACCATGGCAATGGCAACATGTGAACTCATTTGGTTAAAACAGTTGCTCAAAGAACTTAAAATTGAAGAAGCAAGACCAATGACACTTGTATGTGATAATCAAACTGCATTGCACATTGCTTCAAATTCAGTTTTCCATGAGAGGACCAAACATATTGAGATAGATTGTCACTTTGTCAGAGAGAAGATTGAATTTGATGACATCGTCACAAGCTTTGTCAACTCTAATGATCAATTGACATATGTGTGTTACAAAATCTCTGCAAAGTTCAAGAACTAATTATATATGTGGCAAACTTGGTGCATTTGACTTATATGCTCCAGCTTGAGGGGAGGTGTTGATATTTGTAAATATATAATGTTAAGAATATTTGTATGTAGAATAGTCTCACATCGATTATATAGTTTAATTAGTTATAATCTCTCTATATATAATAAAGTCTCCGTAGTGCTTTCATAACACACGGTTTAACCGAAATATTTCTTAGTCTCTCCTAATTCAATAGTTTCGTATAAAGAACTGTGATAGGGTATTGATTGGAGTTTCAAGAATAAAGCTTGACAAATTCCTTGGGATAAAGTGTTCAAGTTCCTAGAGAGAAACTTGACTACACTTTCCGTGAAAACTACTTGGTGTAAGATCTAGATTAATCCCTTTCTTACTAAGCTTACCCTGAGTAGGGGGAGTATTTCTATAGGGGGAGTATTTCTATAGCTAACCTCCAATGAAAGCTCAGCCTTCTTCTACCTCAACATCTGCCTCCTATCTTCAAGCTCTCGACAGTTGGTGATGATAAACTTGACCTAAATTTTCAATTTTTGTTTTTATTTCTCCTATCTTATTAAAACATTTTATTTTTATTTTTAAAAAATGACTAAATTGATTAAAAAAATGTAATTTGTAAGTAGTACTGAAAAATGGTTAGCCAACATAAATTTAGCCTATTCGTGTATATACCATGTAATCAAAATTTGTCCTTCAGCAAAAAGTTTAAATGAGGAGCCAAATTACAAGTGTTCTAAAATTGCAAGGATTATTTGAAAGAAAAACTTTTTACCGGGACTAAAATCAAATTGACATTTATTTGCAGAGACCTTTTGTATAATTAAGATTATAAAGAAGCACTCGCTCGGTAAACAAAGAGAATTAACTACCAACCAAAAACCTTTGTTCACCTATAGCTTAGCACTATAAATGAGTCAAAAAACTTGGAAGATAATGATGTAAACTTTAAGAGGAAATGTTCCGCAGAGAGTATCATTAGTGAGATAAAAGTAAGAGAGTATTACCCAACAAGATTTTGCTTCATGGTCAAGTTAGAAAACTTCAAACCAAATGAAATATGCCCCTAGAAAAATTGAAATAGAAATAAATGAATGTCAAACAAAGTTAGTCCTTTACTAGAAAATCTTAAAGACCTCTAGATTTTATTGCAAGAAACATAACCATGTCTAGTATGAATAAAAAACTGTATAAAACTAAGACAAACTCAAGATAGTTTAATCAAAATTGCACATAAGATCGAGAAGTGGAGTCAAGATTGTAAATCATTGAATTGTAACAAGAGATTGTGAGATCGTACCAATTCAAAAAATCGATACACACAAAGTAGAGTTTTATGCATAATCAAAAGGGGGAAATAAAATCGTAAAACGTGAAATCATAACATGAATCATGTGATTCTACAAAATTCATAAAACTAATGTATATGCGTACAAATTCATATCAAAGCAAAAACTCTTAAAAATAAAATTAGTTAGATGAATTTTGACTTTTTTATATATCTGTTGAATTGATATTATTTCCGTATTTTAAGTTGTTATTATATATTTTATTATAGCAAGTGGATAGTATTTTTATTTGGGTAGTATTTCTATTAATATTATTTGGGTAATAGTATAACCGTAGTTATGACTGACTGCCATGGATAAACTTACCAGGTCATTTTGCACATCGTTGTACAAAACATGAAAATTCCGTATCTCTACTTGAATGCTGTCAAGAATCTGAAAGTAAATGGATAAGTATTAGTGGTTATTGGTATCCTAAATCCTGATGAAGCATCAAGAATGCCAATAACAAGTTTTTTATAGAAAAATAAATTCAGCAAGGAACAAGAGACGTATAATGAAAGCAGGGTAGAATATCCCATACTCCACAATAAGACAACTAAAAGAGAAAACAATAAAGAACCGCGAGAAAAAAAAATAAGTTTTGTATCTAATCACCATTATCCAATCATAAAAAGTTTAAACTATAATATTTATAGGCCAGCTTCTTCCAATCAACTTGCTTGTAGTTGTAGGAGTTAATCCTTGACACTAATGAAGAACTACATTGGACTGAAATGGAGAAACTGGCATCCATAGAAACGACAGTAACATCAGTCTAAATTAACCATGGCATGGCATATTACCTTTGCAGTGACATGAGAAATAAAAGATTGCCCAGCAAGACCACCTGCAGAAAGTAAAGCAATTAATAAAACCAAATGTAAGCAAATATTTTAATGAAACAGAACCTCAGTGAAATTTTAATAATAAGTTGACCCAGTATAAGTATTAGTCCATAACAGCAGGTTGAAATCTCAAATTTAATATTTGCAAAGGTTATGTTATTTCCATAAAAAATCATTAGTAAGCAGAGATAAAAGAGATTTTAAAAAAGTAAGAAATCATTGAGGTTAGTATATCCTCCAGTATACATAGAAAGTACAGTAAGGGAAATAGAAATTAAAGTGTGTGGGTATTTCCAAATAACTGTTCGTATAAGGGGAGAAAACAAAAGAAACACATTAAAGAATAAATAAAGCTTTCCTGTCCCCATAAGTATAACCCTTATTTGGAGTTAGATAAGGAAAATGTCCAGGGCCCAGTGTTTCAAGGCACTTTCTTCAAAGTAATGACTAAAAGTATGTGTACACGAAGCTCAATGATGGCACTGAAGTTAACGGGCTTACCACTCACACGTCTGGATAATTTCCCCAACTCTGCTGCAGCTAGCTTGGCCTTTTTGCCAGCAAATTCTCTTTTTTCAACAGCATCAGCACTCCACTATCACAAAAACAAAGAATTGCTAACCATCTGAATAATATGTGTAGATAACAATGAATTGCTCTAATATTTTCATTAATTATTCGCCTGACACTTTAATACAGGCCACAAGGCATCTGATATGGGCTGCTGAAACTTTTGAAACATGTGCGGGTGCGCGCGCACGTGTGCGGGTGCTTGTGTGTGTGTTTTGTTGAATCTAAATAAGTTTTAAAAGTACCTCTTGATCATCTCGCTTTGATGCAGAAATAAATACATCCTCTAAAATAATTATAATGGGGTCCCAAGGCTTTTTCCATGGAATTTTGATGCTTAACCTCCCAACTCGACCTAGCAAAGAATTCCAAGCTTTGTTAGAAAAGAGAAAATAGGAGCTCCCCTGCACAAACCCCCTTCCATCCGTGCTCTAGAAAGCAATCACTTCATCAGAAAAAAGAAATACAAACAGTAAAATTAATTTTTAGTTCAAAGAACTATAATTTGGAAGAAAATATAAGTAGCCGAGATTTCAAATCTGTAGTATATCAAAGCTGGAGACCACTGCTTGTGTTGTCAAGGTCTTTCTATATCTGCACAAATGTTGTGAAAAAGGATTCTTCTTTGGCCTCTATGTAATGCTCATATCATCATATTTCCAAGGGGTTGCGCTTTCAGATATGCAATAGTACTACTGACTTCCGATTTAAGTTGTAAACTTGTAATTTTCTCTTTGAATTGTTTTCTTGTGGGGGGGCATTATCCTCCTGTCTTTGTAAATCTCAATTCTCCTAATAAATTTCTTTTCTATAAACGACTAGAGTCTACTCCCATTAAATAGAGTGGGGTACATTGATCAAATGATGCCATTATTATGTAATAAGAGAATGAGATAGCTATACCTTGCTTAAGTGCGAATGGAAGCTGGAGATAATCAAATGCTTCGAGTATCAGCTCCACATTCTCCAATAGTACTTCCTCTAAAAATACAATACACATTCAATTCCCAATTCAGTTCACAAACAATCTTCATTTAAATGGGACAATAACATAGAAAATGGGAGAACGAACACCTGAGTTATACATCAACAACCTTCTATGTGTTTTCAGAACAATTTTATAAATTAAAACACTTGGCAAGATAACTACTTAGTAACAGTAATTGCATGTCACATACCAAGTCTAATCTTCAGCTGTCGTTTCTGGATGTCCTTAAAATATCGACCCAGGTAACCCAGAAGCAACTGATGAACCAGACCTTCAAACATTGCTGAAGAATTTTCTTCACCGTCACAACGTCAATAGTTTCATAGTTCCACTAAAATCAATTACAAGCAGGTTAGTGAAAATAAATGAAAATGAAAACAGAGAAAACACAGACTCCACATAAGCACCAAACTTTATTCCCACATAAAAAACCCAAAAGGGGGGAAAAATCGCTAAAAGTGGAAAATTTAAAGGTAAAAATATATAAGGTTTTTCAAATAATTAAATCCTTAATCAGTCTTACATATTCCTAGATATCTTTTGTTCATGACTGTATCTCATTCTTCAACTAAGTAAACCACTTCATGAGTTAATTTTCCTCAAGAGTGTTTGAGAACACTCACTCTTTTATCGAGTAAAATCTATGTGGGTCCCACACTCTTGGTAGGAATGGATCTCTCATAGATTAGTGGAGGCCATATAGATTTCATTCACTAATTCACTAATAGAGTGAACGTTGGAAAGAGAGTGTTCCAAGTACTCCTCTTCCCCTCAAAATAAAAAAGTCTTACCCGGGATTCACTTCTCATTTTCTCATAGTTTTCCTTAAAATCCACATGCCTCCAATGAAAAGGAAGTTAAATATCTTCAAATCACCTCTTAATCCAATCATACACATTCCGATACTCATCTCAAGTAGCCAATAATGCCATCATAAAACCCCACATATCACTATCAAGTCAGCAATTTCCCTGTTCTAATCAAAATTCACTATATCTTCGGTTAAGCTTCTTTCACACTACCTCACAAACTCATTCAAAAAATTACAAACTGAAAAAGAACTGCACAATTCCACACACAAACAAACTCTTGAGGCATTTCACATTCAGAATCAATCATCACAACAATACAGCACAATCATCAGTCCACTACCACATCAGTAACACCAGTTCAGATGAAGTAAAGAGCAACAAAATCAGCTTAATTCTAACCTCAAACTCTAATCAGATTCTAGCGTAACGAGAACGGAAAAAACGAAGAACTACGTAAATCATAATAGTTCGTGCAATGGAAATCATACGAAACAGTAACAAGTGTCGTTAGAAATATTACCTGAAGGAGTCGGGAATGATAGAGGAGCCGGTCGGAGGAAGGTGAATATTCCGGCACGGTGGCGTGGAATCGCGGCGAAGGTTACAGATGAAGTACGTGTCGTCGATTGGAGGTGAGTGATGAGTTTTAGGGTTTGGAATTGAATAAGAACTTGCGTGTCTTCGGTGAGGATCGTGGTTGATGGCGGAACGGAGCAGAGAGAGAATAGAGGGGAGCGTTGTAGTATAGAATACAAGGCAGACTATTTTCCTTTTTCTTTTGATTAATTAAAGATTCTTGACGCTTTTTTATGAAAAAAAGACACTAAGATTCTTAGCGTTTGATTGGTATGAGAGAAATAACTGAGAGTTAAAGAAGACAGAAAATGACGAATTTCTCCTGTATGGTTAGTATATGAGAAATAAAATTAGTGGACCCCATATGATTTAAAACCCTAAAATAAAATATTCTTTCGATTTTAGAATTTGCATTTTGTTTTTTTAATGTTTGGGTTATAGAATTCGAAAACATTCAAATGGAATCGTGAAATACAATCTAATTGAGTTGAAGACCGACGAAGATGTGAAGGCCGTGTGAAAATTATTTCGTCGTAGGATAATCAAGGTTCTGATCGAGTTGGATGCGGAGTTAACTAGATTCGTCGACGATATAATGAAGATGTTGAAACGTTCAGAATTATCTGGTAGTGTCTATGTTTTCATGTTTAGTTTTTTTTAGTTTATGTTTGTTGTACTGTTATATGTTTTCATCTTCGAATCGAAACATGTAATCGCCAAAATATTATATAATAAATAAGAAGTCTATGTGTCACAAAATATACATACAATACAACTAAAATATAACAGATCTACATACGCCTTCCACGGACTACGTCCGCTAACCTAGCTAAACATGTATAAATCTCACCATTAGAGTTTACCAAACTCATGAGGTTATCTAAATAAAGAGAAATAAATTGTAGGCAGTTGTCCTGGTCACATGCAGATGGTAGAGCTGGTGGTGGCAACACGTCAGAAATCCTAGCACGTGAAGGCCCTGGAACATCGAAAACTCAGTCGATGGTATGACCCAGGGGTGTGATATATTGTGATACCACTACATGTATCCATCCTCGCACTCTGAAGGATATTGAACCATAACTGTTGTATCCATGATCTCACGGGCTGAGCTGGTGATGTGAGTCTGAAAACATTTGTCAATACCACCAGATGGAACCTCTAAAACTCAACGAGGGATGCCCTGGATATAACCATATTGTCGTAGACACCTCTCAGACAAGTGTCTAGCCACGTGGTTCTCCCACCTAATATGCCCTGAATACAAAGAAGCGTCATTAAATGCATGATGGGCCCGGTGAGATGTATATGGTATCCAGACAACATCCTCTTTGATCAGAGCATCATGCCTCCTCTTGTACTCCATCACACCTCCTATAAGGGCTTGTTTGCTCTTCCATCACCTCGCTCATGGAACACTAGGTGGGACACGCTGGATCTTCTGGTCACAAATGTGGGGGAAGGGCTTGTATATCCAACACTGTATAACTAAAAACAATTTAATATAACATCCAACAATAACTAATATACTCAAATAAATTAATAAAAACCAACAAATAAATGCTAGTATACATGTAATATGCTCATATAACTAGCTAGTTGTTTGGTCTCGAACTGAGAAGCAACTCCAAGTACCGTGTACAACATGGTCAACGCTGCCACTCCCCAAGCCCAACATGAAGTGTCTAGTGTACTTAATAGATACAAGTAGCAAACATCGATGTAGACACCAGACTTGTCTGTAAAGATAGTACATACCATCAGATGTAGCATATACGCCTTAGCGACAACCTCATATCTATAAGCCTCTGCGTGCTCTCTGTACAATTTCCTCAACCAAGACATTTGAAGGTGAAATATCAGGTTAAAGTCAAACTCCTCTAGGATTTTCGCCTCATATACCTCAAAATCATCCATAATCATGTGCACCATCGTCGCATGGTTAATATGAGGAGGCGTGAAGAATGTACCAGCGTTTGGGATGTGAAACAAGGCGTCGACATCATTCAATGAGATCGTTATCTCCCCAAATGAAAGATGAAAAGATGATGTCTTTGGGTGCCACCTCTCAACAAAAGCTGACTGGAGGGAGGCGTTGAGCATGGTCAAGGAGCACTTAGCAAACTCCAGCAAATAAAACTCAGAAACAATACGCCTGACCTCCTTAGGCATCCCACCATTTGGGAAGTTCTTCAACTTCAAACCATGGGATGCGATCTTCAGCACCGGACGCTCCTGTAAATTTGAAATAAAGACTTGATATATGAGTCATCATGATAAATTTGCAATAAAGAAAACAAAATATATATCTCGCCCTGCCAATATCATGTATGCGACATGCTTAGAAAATCTTGTCAGCACAGACCTATCTAAAGGTCCTCTTGGACCATCAGTGTAAACTGATATGCTCTGAAGGTGCATGAGTCATGGCGTTTGTATCAGTGGGATACACCTCATCATCCTACTCAACAATAACCTGCTCAACAACTGTCTCCATAAAAGCCTCCTCAACAACCCTGTCATCTACAACATACTCCTCAATAGCCACAACCTCCTCAGCAATTGTCTTCACAACAACCTGCTCAATCACATGAGCAGGCACATCCACAAGAGCAGGTGTCTCCACATGAGCAGGTAACTCCACAAGATCATGTACCACCTCGGTAGTAGAAACTCTAGCAGTTTGTCATTGGGGTGTGCGAAATTGCGCTTGCTACTCAGCCAACTGTTTCCAGTGAAAACCGGTCATAGCACGTCGTCTTGCCTGTGGCTTGGAAGCTTGTGCCTCATCAGCCCTAGCCTGAGCTTCTGCTCTATCAGTCAGCCTGCTCGCAACGGTACCATCTTTGCCCCTAGTCCTCACTGAAACAAAGAAAAAAGGGAGGAAAAATGAACTATCGGAAATTTTGAATTTTCTAGTACTAGAAGTGGACAATCAGAAATTTCAAAATTTCTGGTATAAAATGTAACAAAATAACCGAGAATTTCAAAATTTTCTATACGAAAATACCGGAAATTACCAAAATTTTGTGACAGTATACTGGAATTTTTGAAGAAATATCGTAAATTCCATACTATTTCCTGAAATATTTGGTATGCTCTGCAAATCTCCAATATCGCCTTGGAAATTTCAAATTTGCGGTATGGTCCTGGAAATTTCAAAAGTTTGTGAAAAAATTATATTGGGCTATTTTGGTCTTTTCATACACTTTGGGGTGTCAAGTTCAAGTGTGGGGATGTCAAGTTAAAACCTCAAGTAGTTAGGCTTTTAAATTGGTTTATATTGTTTTAGATACATATTATCTTATAGATATCAAAGTTGACATTATACCCCAATTGTGTTGCATGAGATATGGGTCCCTCTCCAATCCCTCTCTTTTGAAAATGTCATCAATGTTTAAGTAAATGGTCATTGTTTATTCCCAGTTATTTTTGGGCTATTTGGTCGGTTTATTTAAACACATTCTATCATCTGGCTTAATCTTACAAAAGATCTAAATAATAACTAGGTAAAATTACACCAGGTGTCCTTTAAGTTATTTTTTAATAGGTTGGTCCTTTAAAAATTTTTGTAACAACTTGGTTCTTTAGGGTGATTTCAACCTCCATTTTCTCATATTTTGAAAATTTATAAATGTTGATTGTTGTATTTCTAGTTGCACTACATCATTTTCATACTACTTAAATTAATTGCTTCCATAATTAGCACATTTTCTCTGTTAAAAAGGGTAACGGTGCATACATTTGATAACTTAAAGGACCAAGTTATTGCAAAAAAAAAAAAAACTTAAAGGACCAACATGTTACAAACAAATAACTTAAAAGGTCTCTGATATATTTTTGCCTAAAAATTATGTATGTTTCCTCGAGTTGTTTGAGTCAAAGAGATGATT